GACGCGGATGTGATGAGTCGGGAGTAAATGGCAAGTTTCGTTGTCATCCCAAGTTGAAAATTGTAATTTTCATTCTTATTACAATACTTATGCGCGCCAAGCAGATGCAAAGAAGGGGACGTGTCCTTGTGTGGTGTCCTAGAATCTAACGTTTCGCCGCCTCTCCTTTTTTTCCTATTTTTGTACGATGTTATTTTGTTTTCTTATCATTACACTATGGGAAAAAAGTCTATTTTTTGGCATAAAATCAACTTCTTTTAGGCATCCATTTGCCTCTAAAAGTTCCGCCAAGTTGGTCAATTTCAGCATTTTTCGAACTTTGAGGTCCTTTTGCTAAGAATCCTTGCGTCGGGGAACTCTTTGGAAAACGCAGTTTAACTTGGGAATTAGTAACGAATCTAAAAATATAGCATCCATCGAGGTAAATTTAAAAAGCACTAAAAATGCTGCACAGTGTTATTTATGTTGTGTGTTCGTCCCACCAAATTTATATACATAAAACGTGACCGCCCAGTAGATCAGTGAGAAAGCACAGAATTTGCGGGTTCTTAGTGGGTTTATTACGGGTGTAACGGTTCAGCGATCTTGATATGGCCGCTCGTGGCCGTCGACGACTCCTGGTCGCCTTGATGACTCGGTGCTCTCCTCGTTGACGGAGTAAGAGCTTTATAGCACCACTGTATATCTTATTCCCTTTTGAGTTGTTCACTAATGTAACAAGTAACGAATCCTTTTTCTCTTTTAAGTTCTGGTTCTGTCTGCAGCATTTTTATACCTGTTACTCGTAGAGTAAAAGGGTATATTGTATTCGTGCAAAAGTATGTAACAGCTAGAAGGAAGCGTTTCCGACCCCATAAAGTATATATATTCTTGATCAGGGTCACTAGCCGAGTCGATCTAGCCATGTCCATCTGTCCGTCTGTCCGTCTGTCTGAACGCTGAGATCTCAGAAACTACAAAAGCTAGAAGGTTGAGATTTTCCACACATATTCTTTGGCTTCCTACGCAGCGCAAGTTTATTTTAGCCGAGCGCCACGCCCCCTCTAACGCCCACAATCGCCCACTAACGATTTTAAAATGTACATTGTACATACATGCCAATTTATCGATGTGTGTGTGTCATTGCGTTTCTCAAATGCAAATGTGACGACTGAAAGTTTTTCCCTGCTCTCCCCTTGAAACCCAAACCAAACTTTTTTTAAAATCACACACTTTGACTTAGAATTGCATCCATTAGATAATCCGTTCTGGTATCCAAATAGTACAAATTTTATCAGGTGTTTCTAAGCCAGAAAAAAAACATTGGCCGCCTCTCTTTCGCTTCAAATGACTCTCTCTCTGCTCACTACTCTCTCGCTCTGCTTTTGCTGACGTTCGTGAGTGCTGCGAAAAACAAAAACAACGTGCTGCCAAAGAGGCCCCCGCAACCCACGAAAACAAAAAGGATCATATAAAATAAACCGTGGGTCCAAAAAAAAAACAAAGCTGCCTTACTGATTGTATGGCATAGCTCCACACTTTAAACCAAAAACGGACGCGATCGCATAATCGGTGCGGAAAAATGAATTATTTAAAATCATCTTCTGGGCTTTCAAAGATTTCCACAAACAAAGCTTAAAAAAAATATCAACTTGTTTGGTTGAAAACTGTGGGAATGGTTAATGTTTTAATTAACCAATTTTGCATTTTTCGAGAGTCCTGGGGGTCCTTAGGAGCCGAATTTTAAAAAATCCTTTCTTAGTGCACACCTCCTCTAACACACGATTCAGACCCAATTTTTTCCAGAATTTTAGGTCTTATGGCTTGGGCTGGGGGAACATGACGCAAATGGATACCTACTCTATTGTTATACTCGATATACTTGTCCGATCCGGACAGTTCCGACTTATATACCACCTGCAATAGAAATAAAGTTTTTTTTTTGAGAAAGTTTCATTCCTATAAAGAGCCTAGTTCGGGTAGAAACGGGCGGACAGACGGACATAGCTAGATTGACTCGTCTACAAGGGTATAAAAATACAATTATTTGATTTGATATTTTTTTAAATAAAATAAGAGAGAATGCTATCAAATAACTGTTATTTACCTAGTAAGTACAGAGCCGCAATTTACAGTGTCCAATCACCGAACTTTACTTTTTTAGTTTTTTTACTAAGGTTTTTTTTACTAAGGACAGTCGCGAAAGACGACTATAGCATTCGCTCCTTTTTTTTTAATGAATAAGAATAGTCGTTGTATTTTTTCATGAATTAATGGCGATATTTTCCGAACTTTTTCTTGAAGTAATGACAAAATCGCTTTTGGTTCTAGAAAATAAATATCTATTTTTATACCCTTGTAGAGGGTATTATAATTTCAGTCAGATGTTTGCAACGCAGTGAAGGAGACGTTTCCGACCAGATAAAGTATATATATTCTTGATCAGCATCACTAGACGAGTCGATCTAGCCATGTCCGTCTGTCCGTCTGTCCGTCGGTCCGTCTGTCCGTCTGTCCGTTTCTATGCGAACTAGTCTCTCAGTTTTAAAGATATCGCGATGAAACTTTCCCGAAAGTCTTCTTTCTATTGCAGGTAGTACATATGTCGGAGCGAGCCGAATCGGACCACTATATCTTAAGGCTCCCATAGGAATATTCAAAGATATATAAGAAAATTCATTGTTACTTTGTAGGAAGTAGGCGTTTTAATTCTTGACTCTTTAAAAACAAAATTCAAAAATAGAAACGCTGAATCTGGAATCACTGGAACTGCACCGAGTGAGCATTACTTTATCTGCAAGGGTATATAAGCTTCGGGTGGCCGAAGGTAGCTTCCTTTCTTGTTCAGGATAGTTTTGTAATTTTTTTTAGTGGCGTCCGGAAACATTTGTACAAAAGTCTCCGCGGAAAAAGCGGATAAAGTCTTGTTTTTATCTATATCAATATTTGTCTTTATCAAAAAATCGGTCAGTAGCAAATTTCACCCACAACGGATTGACACAAAAATAAAAAAAAAAACAAGAAAGGAAGCTAGCTTCGGCCAGCCGAAGCTTATATACCCTTGCAGATAATTCCTATTAATTTACAAATCGCAAAAATGTTAATTTTCCTATTATTTCTCATTAATTTTTCGTTCGTTTTAATGGCAGCTATATGATATAGTAGTTCGATTTTGATAAAATTAAAATCGAAATTCGAAAATATTTGAAAAGAGTTATATCCTAGAGTAGAAGAGAATACAATAAAAACCAACGAAGCAATAATTTATTTCCTATTATATTCCCATTAATTTTCCGATCGTTCCTATGGCAGCTATATGATATAGTCGTCCGATTTTGAAAAAATTGTATTCGAAATTCAGAATTAAGGCCTCTTTACAGTTCAGATGGAATGTGACATGGAATCGAATTTTTCATACAAATTTCAAAATCTGAGATGGAATAGATTCCATTTTCCATTTTATTTTTCATTTTGAGTTTACACTTCTAATGGAATTTTGTCAGAATTCTTAGAAAAGCCTCATATGTTTAACATAGATTAAAACAATTTTGAATAGAAGCCCTTGTAAAATTTAACATTTGTTCGACAGTAACAGAAATTCGATCTGTTAATATCATTACATTTGACTCGATTGGAATTAGAGCCCTGCATGGGTATACAAAATGGGTTATTTGGGTACCCAAACGAAATTTCAGGTCAAGTAGGTCAGGCTTTCTTTTAAAAATTTACCTACCCAACCCGACCCCAAAATTTTCGGGTCGTTTGGGTTTGGGTAAAATTTTACCCATTTACCCAAATACCCAAACCCAAACGACCCAAGTCAAATGGGTTTCAAGTAGATCAGTTCAGGTTTAAGGTTACCCAAAGAAAAAAAATGGATTTTTAAATAAGACGATGATGACAATTTTCACAGCTCATCGACCCGTCGCGAATTCTAAAGGTCAAGATTTGTTTCCACTTCTTTTGCCCATGCGAATTCTTTGATCTTCAAATATTACAGATGTATGATCCACAGAAACATATTCTTTTGCTCTAAAGAATTCGCGGTTTTAGAAAAATAAATATGGGATATACATATGGGTTTCTTAGTTAAGTTATGTATGATCCACACAAATAAATCCTCTTGTTCCTAAGAATTCGCGGTTTTTGAAAAATCGATATAGAATATACCATTAGGTTTCTTAGTTAAGTTATGTATAATCCACACAAATATTTCCTCTTAATCCTAAGAATTCGCGGTTTTTGAAAAAATTGATTAATTTAAGAACTTCCATAGATTTTATATTAATTCTTCCAAACCGCGAATTCTTAAGAACAGGAGGATCTTCAGATTGGTTGGACCGTGTTCTTCTTAGCTAAGGCACTAATGCTTATACTTGGCTCTATAATTATTAATTCTTCACAAACCGCGAATTCTTAGGAACAAGAGGATTTATTTGTGTGGATCATACATAACTTAACTAAGAAACCTAATAATATGTTCTATATTGATTTTTCAAAAACCGCGAATTCTTTAGAGCAAGAGAATTTGTTTTTGTGGATCATACATCTGTAATATTTGAAGACCAAAAGAATTCGCATGGGCGGAGGATGTGGAAACAAATGTCGATATATCGTATCTTTTAATTTTAAATATTATACACAGTTAACCATCTTGACCTTAAGAATTCGCGACGGGTCGATGAGCTGTGAAAATTGTGATCATCGTCTTATTTAAAAATCAATTTTATTTTTTTGGTTAACCTTAAACCTGAACTGATCTACTTGAAACCCATTTGACTTGGGTGGTTTGGGTTTGGGTCGTTTGGGTTTGGGTAAAAATTGACTCACTTACCCAAATACCCAAACCCAAACGACCCAAGTCAAATGGGTTTCAAGTAGGTCGGTTGGGTTTAAGGTTTGACAAACAAGTCAGGTTACTTGTGCAGGGCTCTAATTGGAATATGTGAGTGGGTACATATTCCATGAGAGTACATATGAAATTTATGGTATTCATTCCCTTTCCTGTCAAAGTGTTTATGAGTTTGAAAAATGTCGGGAGCAAGAAAAAACAAAAAGAGGAATCAAAGCATCAGCCGCGAGGAAACCATTCAACTGATAGAAGAAGTAAAATCACGCCCGGAGATATGGGACTTAACCAACAAGAACCATAGCAATAATAATGCTGTTAGAAGTGCTTGGGCAGCCGTTAGTGCTGCCACCAACAAAGAAGGTGAGGAATTTTTATATCAATAAAAATTGGATGTGATCATTAAACATTACTTTGCAGTCAACGAGGTCAAGTCAACCTGGCTTTCACTTCGTGATAGCCTTCGCTATCACACGAAGAAGAAAGCAACACAGATTCTAAAAAGTGGTAGCGCTGGTGGCTCAAAGAATATAAACCTAGTCGAATCCGAAAAGACGGGCCCCGAGATAGACTGGGAGATGGCAGAGCATATGTCATTTCTGCAGGGGCTGTCTCACAAAAGAAAGTAAGTTACACAAACTGAAACCATTGTTATTAATATTATTTTTTCAGGACATTTGCTTCTGTGCACGCCCCATCCACTTCAGAAAAACGTGGTTGTGATAGCCCGGAAGAGGACACTGAGGAGGCTTCGTATGATTATGTAAGCTTCATAAAATTCCTATTTATTCTTTATTGATTGTGATCGGACAAATCGCAGAGACCAAAGAAGAAGAAAAACAGTGACCCAATAGGAACCGAAATTGGAGAACTGCTCAAGTCAGCGAAGGACCTCATATCGGTGGTTCAGACCAAGCAAGACAACAAGACAACTGGATCCCTGAAAAATGTCGAAATGTTTTCTTTTTGGGACAAGATGATGGAGGACTTTTCCGAGGAGGCCCTACAACAAGTGCAGGTGAAGGTGACGGCAGCAATAGCTGAAATTGGAAAAAAGATCGTGCTGCCAAAAATAAAAAAAATAATAAAAATTAAAATTGTGTCTTCTTTATTTTATATGTGGAACGTTTCTCATTCATTGCTTTCTTGGACAAAGGCTGCCCTGTTCTGCCATGGTACGGCGCCTGCGTTTGAATTTATATGAGCACATAACTGGTTTCTAATCATCTTGCCATAATCATTTGGCCTGCCAATATATGGCTGCAGCGATGTTAAATTGTTGTGTTCAATTGATTGTTCCTCAAAACCGCCTATGTAATCAACTGTGGCATTTCTTATTAAAAAATTATGAAGTAAGCAGCATGCCGTAGTAACCTTTTGTGCTGTCTTTGGTTGACAAATAAGAGTTCGTTGCATGCATATCCACCTCCAGCTTAGTATGCCAAAAGCGTTCTCTATGCATCTACGAGCACGGCTCAAGCGATAGTTGAAGATGCGCTCCGAGTTTCCAAGATTTGTTCCGCTATAAGGCTTCATAATTCTCTTGCAAAGTGGAAATGCATCGTCACCTATTAAAAAGTACGGAATTCGATTTCCATTAATGATGCGGTCATTTGGAAATTCAAGTCTGTCGCCGAGAATATCTCTTCCAAATTGTGATGACGAAAATACATTTACATCACCTTCGCTGCCATACGCTCCTACGTTAATGTAGGTAAATGCATATTTAGCATCACAAATGGCCATAAGAACTATGGAATGAAATCCTTTATAATTATGAAAGGCACTACCACTGCTTGCTGGGGCCCGGACAGCAATATGTTTGCCATCGACGGCAAAATTCCACTCGCTTTCGAAGTTGGTAGCGTAATTAAGCATACGATTTTTTTCCCAGGCCGGGATTTCGCCGATCAACTCTATCGCAATAGCGTCACTAACAGCGATGACAATACCACTCATACTGGCCTTGCTAATGCGATATGTTGATGTTACATGTCTTTGGATATCTCCAGATGCAAAATATTCCATCACGATTGCGAATTTGGTTAGAGGTGGTATCGCGTCAGCTCGAGTTTCCCGTAGTGGCTGCAAATGCTTCTCAATTTTCGAAAAAATATTCATAAAATTTTCATAAGACATTCGGAAATTTTCCAAGAACACTGGTGGGTTATTGATCATATCGACAAAGTCCTTAGCGAATCTGCCTTTTGTGTTTCGATCCTTATGATAGGGATTGACCCAGCACTTGCGTTTGCTTCTTTGGTTTTTTTCACGTTTTTTTTCAACAACGCCGCGATAGCCAGATTATTAATTGCAAGTTGCAGTAATAGTACACTAAAATGAAGACAGTAGTGTATAAGTTGCCATCGAGATTATTGCGCTCAGAATGTATCTAAATACGTACCACTCATCATCCATTCTAAAAGAATACAAATCGTTTTTTCCGTTTAAATTTGATAGAACGAATTTGGCAGGGCAAGTACGTTTCAGAATGATAACAGGAAATGTAAACAGACATGAAATAAGAAAAATTCCATTTCAAAAATTCCTACTGAGGTGTAAAGAGGCCTTTAGATAAAAAATGACATTTCCAAAAGTAGGATGTTATAGGTTCAAAAACACCCAAGATATAATTTTTTTACATTTTTTTTCCCGATTGTTCCTATGAGAGCTATATGATATAGTTGTCCGATCCGGCTCGTTCCGACTTATGTACTACCTGCAATAGAAAGAAGACTTTTGGGAAAGTTTTATCCCGATAGCTTGAAAACTGAGAGACTGGTTTGCGTAGAAACGGACGGACAGACGGACGGACAGACGGACAGACGGACATGGCTAGATCGACTCGTCTAGTGATGCTGATCAAGAATATATATACTTTATGGGGTCGGAAACGTCTCCTTCACTGCGTTGCAAACTTCTGACTGAAATCATAATACCCTCTGCAAGGGTATAAAAAAATACATTAATTAATAAATTAATCAGGAGCCGCGAGTAAGGTACAAATTGGAACAATAAACGACCCCAAAGTGCCCCAAAATTTGATTTTTTTTTAAATTCTTTTTTTTGCTATTCTTCTGTTATAAATGTTGTTAAAATGATTGAAGAATGTGATGTTCATAATTTTATGGCATACCTGCAAATACCTGCATTTCAATTTTTGGAAATTCAGCCTCCTTCACCAAGTCCCCGAAATTTCCAAATTTTGTTGTGCCATTGTGATGTCACGTATGTATGTATGTATGTTCTGCTGTCGCCCTATAAGGGTGACCGCGCAAAAGTAAAATGAAAATACCACATTTAAAATACGCGATTTAAAAATCGATTATATCGCAAATCGTTTCTTTTCCGCGTTTTCAGTTCGTGAACGATTATTTTTTAAACAGCTATTATATAGACAAAACAGCTAGAAGGAAGCATTTCCGACCCCATAAAGTATAAATATTCTTGATCAGGGTCACTAGCCGAGTCGATCTAGCCATGTCCGTCTGTCTGTCCGTATGAACGCTGAGATCTCGGAAACTACAAAAGCTAGAAGGTTAAGATTTTCTACACATATTCTTGGGCCTCCTACGCAGCGCAAGTTTATTTCAGTCGAGCGCCACTCCCCCTCTAACGCCCACAATCGCCCACTAACGATTTTAAAATGATGCCTGCGCCCACATCTTTAAAGATTGTATTGAATGCAATTTTGTTGTGTATATTTATACCTATTGAAATCAGGGAACGAAAATAATTATTATTTTTATTTCTTCAAACAAAAAAATCGGCCACTTATAATAGCCCTAAAAAAAAAGGATTTTTACCAAAATAATTAACGTTGTTCAATCTATGCATTCCCGCCATGATTTTTAAATATATGATTTTTATCTTTTTGTTCAATGGTAATTTTTATTTTTGATCAAAAAAAATAGGACTCAAATATAATGATTATTGATGATTTTTTTTAACCACTTTTAAAAAATAACTTATCCTATTATTATCGTATTAGATAGTCGGGACACCAACCCGACTGATATAGTATAGTATAGTATAAATCGAAATTCGAAAATATTTAAAAAGAGTTATATCCTAGAGTAGAAGAGAATACAATAAAAACCAACGAAGCAATTATTTATTTCCTATTATATTCTATAAAACTTTTTTCGAAATTCAGAATTAGATAAAAAATGACATTTCCAAAAGTAGGATGTTATAGGTTCAAAAACACCCAAGATATAATTTTTATACCCTTGCAGAGGGTATTATGATTTCAGTCAGAAGTTTGCAACGCAGTGAAGGAGACGTTTCCGACCCCATAAAGTATATATATTCTTGATCAGCATCACAAGACGAGTCGATCTAGCCATGTCCGTCTGTCCGTCCGTCTGTCCGTCTGTCCGTCTGTCTGTTTCTACGCAAACTAGTCTCTCAGTTTTTGAGCTATCGGGACGAAACTTTCGCAAAAGTCTTCTTTCTATTGCAGGTAGTATATATGTCGGAGCCGACCGGATCGGACAACTATATCTTATAGCTCCCATAGGAACAATCGGAAAAAAAAACTTTAAAAAATTCTAGCTTCGGTGTTTTTTGAAATATTACCTTCTACTTTTGGGGATGTTATTTTTTAAATATTTTTGAATTTCGAATAAATTATTTAAAAAATCGGACTACTATATCATATAGCTGCCATAGGAACGATCGGAAAATTAATGGAAAAGTAATAGGAAATAAATTCAAGCTTCTTTGCTTTTTATTGTATTATCTTCTACTCTAGGATATGACTCTTTTTAAATATTTCCGAATTTCAATTTTAATTTAATCAAAATCGGACGACTATATCATATAGCTGCCATAGGAACGATCGGAAAATTAATGAGAAATATTAGAAAATTGAACATTTTTGCGATTTGTTAATTAATAGGAATGATCTGCAAGGGTATATAAGCTTCGGCTGGCCGAAGCTAGCTTCCTTTCTTGTTTTACATTTTTTTTCCCCGACTGTTCCTATGAGAGCTATATGATATAGTTGTCCGATCCGGCTCGTTCCGACTTATATACTACCTGCAATAGAAAGAAGACTTTTGGGAAAGTTTTATCCCGATAAATTTAAAAAAAAAGAAGATATTTTTTTGAAAAAAGGGGGGGGGAGAGGGGGAGACCCGTCTAGTGATGCTGATCAAGAATATATATGTAGAGAAAGGCTTCCATTTACTTCCGTGAATTTATTAAATTATTAGACACGTTTTATTCTTCGATGAATGCAGTTTTTGATACAGTTTTGTACATAGTTTAGACACTTTGATATACTCGAGATACACGCGACCTTCCTCTGCTGATGCTCAATCTCTACTGTGTGCGCATTTATCACACTTTTTAACACTAAAGAAAAATGTTATAGAACAGAATAACTGATCTGTTATAAAATAGGGCTGCCAATCCTACATTCGGCTATTCTGACAATTCATTCGACCCGAATGAGGACGACCACAACTTCATATATTCGGCGACAGTGTTTGTTTTATTTGGACCTTCATCATCTCCTACTTTTTCGACAAGGTATCGACCATGTCTCAACTTACGAGTCACGGCGTAGGGCCCTAAGAACTTCTTTTTCAACTTCAACCCTGCACCAAACTGCGTTCTTTTAATAGCTACTAAATCTCCGAGTTTGTACTCAGACTCTGGCTTCCTTGATTTGTTGAATGACTTGCGATTCTCGTCCTGAATCTTTGCGATGTTCTCCTTAGCTTCCTCTCGAATCTTCTCCTTTTCTTCCTGTAACTCATTTAAGAAATCTTCCTCTAACAGCTTGTCTAACTCTTTATCGTAGTTGGTCTTCATGTTGATCCCAGTAAGAATCTTGAATGGAGCTATCTTTGTACTTCTAGGTGGAGAGGAATTAATAAATTGTTGAACTCTGCCTACATGCTTATACCAAGCTTTCGGGTCTTCCGCACAAAGTTTTGTCAATATAGTGATGACAATCCTATTGATACGCTCTACTTGACCGTTGCCACGTGGCACTCCTGTGGCTACCAATAAATGCTGAATATTGTGATCCTTACAGTATTCCTGAAAAACATTGGCTGTGAATGCCGTTCCACGATCCGTGATTATACGACTTGGGTTACCGAAAACTTCAGACTGCCTTTCCATTCTATCCACTACTTCGTCAGCGCCAGTACTCTTAGTGGGGTAAAGCCACACAAATTTAGAGAAAGCGTCGACCACTACTAAGATATGATTGTATTGTTTTTTTGTAATGTCCATGGGGCCAATATGGTCAATATGATAGGTCTGTAACGGTTCGTCTGCCTTGTTTATTGCGTTTAAGAATCCCTCTTTTTTCCCATACTTAGCATCGCCAACTATACACTCTA